CAAAAGCCCTGTATGTGCGGTTTCATATGGATACATGTAGGCTGCCATTGCAACAGTTGCTATAAGTGGATATAATATTTGGAGTTTCACATGCATTTGACATGAACAATTAATTGACTATTCATTTTAATGAAAATTTATTAATTCCTGAAAATTCCCATTCCTAGTCAGTACTATCCATTTCCTAAAACTAGTCTAAATATGAGTGTTTTTCTTCAGAAAATGTACAATAGACGTTATTAAAAGATATTACCAAAAGGTCATACCACCTATAATGTAATTTTAAAGGTACTGAATGTAAAAATGACTGCAGTCCTAATTCAAAATATCAGAGACCGTTGTTTCTACTGCTCCTCAGACTCGACGCTCAAGCAGGTTGCCAGTTTGAGGACACGCAACAGGAGTGAGCGCAATTGACAACGAAAACCGAGGAGTTGATTTATCCGCGTTTTAATATGCTCTTGTTCATAAAGATATTTAGATAGTGTGGTGGTGATGGCACACTGGATAAGACACATGCCTTTGGTGTGAGATATGCGGGTTCGAATCCACTGAGAGACACCAATGTGTCCCTGAGCAAGACACTTAACCCCTAGTTGCTCCAGAGGCGTGCGACCTCTGACATATATAGCAATTGTAAGTCGCTTTGGACAAAAAACGAATAAATGAATAAATGTACATATAGATGGATAACGAGGCTTTTTAGGTTGTGTGAAAACTGCAAGCTCTGACCAAGTTTGTTTGCCCGTTTCCAAGGCTGCAATACGCCGTTTCTCCTGCCAACTGGCATCCTGTGGTGTCGAAATACTATTGGGTGAACTGGCAGTGGGCGAGATCACATAGACCAAAACAAAACCGGACTGACAACAGGAACATGTAAAATAATAGAAGTGTTTTTCAGAGAAACGAGTGTGTGAATTTAGTATGTTTCCTAAAAATCTGCAAACATATTATGGTATTTTTTATGCTTCAGTAGAGTAAAAAACGTACATATGGCAACTTTAAAGGGGTGGTTGATTGCGATTTCACTTTTTTCATTTTAAATAGTGAGTAATGTTGCTATTGATGCATGAAAAGTATCTGCAAAGTTGCAGCGCTGAAAGTTTAATGTAAGCAGAGATATCGTCTTTTAAAAATCAGGAAGTTTAATGCCTACAAAAACGACTCGATTGGGACTACAGCTGGGTTTTAGACGTCACTAACCCACACATTTGCATCAACCCCTCCCTCTGGAATATGCAAAAAAAGGGCATGGCCATATTTCTGCGGCTCGTTGAGTGAGTTGTGTTCATCAAGCTGTCAGGTCTTCTGTGTTCGAGCTTCCCACGGACGCTACTTCGTCAACAATGGATACTACTTATTTTTGATTATGTTCCTGAAAAATACAATCGTACTTTACCTCTCTGAGCTGCGCATTTACGGAAGACAGCTTCCAGAATCTCCACGAATTCAACACCGGATTCAACAAGAAACTGTTACTAAAACAAGAAGCAGTTCCAACTTTAAAAGCAGAGGCAGCAGTTGTTGGGCCACAACCTGTAAGTAGGCTAAGACTTCATCATTTTGAATGTATTTGCATGTATTTCAGACGTAATGTTTTAGTTTTTTAAAATGCCAGCGCTGGCTTTATAGCCACTAGGCTACTAGTTACGCTATTTTGTTTCTACGACAAACGCATACAAATATTTTGGACATGAATTTTGTATATGTACTAATTTTGTAAATGTATTTTTCATGTACTTTATGACGTTATTTCTCGATTTGATCAAGAAAGTAAACCAATGCAAACGCTGTTTGTGTATATAGTAACCAGTGAGTTCAATGCTATTTGTAAGACAAACGTGTATAAAGTTAAAAATATAGGCAAATTACCATTCAGAAACGTTTAGTAAGAGCCGTATGTGGTGAGGTTCTGCTTGACCCTCTTCATCGACTTCACTGCACTGTAGTTCCGACTCCACTATTTACATTTGACAGGAACACACATGAAACTCTCGCCCGTAAAGGTAATGGGTGTGAATTTTCCGGACAACGCGCACTACAGTTTAGCCAATCACAACACATCCGCCCAAACTAACCAATCTGAGCCCACTGCCTGTTTCTGAGGGAGTGGTTTCATAGAATCAGGAAGTCAACCGGTCGTTCAAGCGACAGAGGAGAGCGCGGCTTACAATAAAGGTGAAATTTATGAAAAAAAAGACTTAAAAAAAAGAAAAAACACGAATACATGTTATAATGCACCCCATAAACACAATCATGCAAAGAAAAAAAAGCAGTAAACCATCCCTTTAAGCGTTACCATAAATTAAAATGACTCTTTCAGTATATAAAATTGTGTTCGTCGTAGTGCACTGGTGCATGCATTTTGAACGCAATATGTGATCTTACCTTGCTAACATTCAAGGATGCTAGAGGAGGAGGAGTTTCAGTGCGGTCATTAATTATATCCACCTCTGAAACATAGGCTAAGTTGATCAAGATGACGTCGCTGAGGTTGGGCTTTCCGCTGGAGGAAGGACATTCTGGCAGGAGGGTTAAGGATAAATCACACAAGGACATCAAGACATTCATGCAGTTGTTCTCTAAACAGGTAGGTGTTGAAACCTCCCGTTTAGGAAATGACTTGGTTTACTAAACATTAAAAGTAGTTACAGACACACCGGTTTACAACACACCCAAAGACATTAAGCAGTTCAAATACTACCTCCATCCGCCACATGGTTAGATGGCCATTATTCTAAGACCTAGATGTAAAATACGAGCCGAGTAATACAGAAAATGAAACCAACACGAGTAATTGCTTGAGCAAGCCTACAAAAAAATAAGTCGGGGGGAAAAAAAGTGACAAGTGATGTCATACATGTCAAGCGTCAAACCATCAAGGCCACATTTAAACAAATGTCAGCACTGACAACAGGGATTTACAGAAATCCCATGAAGGTCAATCTTATGTGTGACAAAGCAGATTCATTAATTCAACACTAAGAAGAATAATCTTCATCTTTTGTAGATACCTGAAAAACTTACTTTTCCATTCTATAGATACTGATTAGCTATTTAATCTGTCCTTAACCCATGAAGCATACTGTATCATATTTCATATACACATTTCTAAAGTCTCTAAAACTTTGCTTAACAACCTGTTGTATAATCTACTATATGCCTTCTGAGCTATATTTATACTTTTTTGGCACGTAAAATTAATTTTAGTATAATTGTAAAAACATCCACCTTGAGGTGGTGGTGATGTGATATCTTCAAAGATTTTTATTAAACCATGCCAGGTCAAAGGGTGTCAACACTTCTGCTCACCCTTTAAAATGTCAAGTCGAAAGATGTAAGCTAGATTTCAGCAATTTCACTCGTTTGGAAGGAACCGGTTTGTGATATTTTAGGACACAAAACGTATAGCCAAGTGAATAGGTTGAAGTGTCATCCTTCCAGTCTCGGCATTCACAAACTCCCTTATTTAGTTATAGGATGGTCAAAAATATGAATGACCATTCAGCATGATATTATTGATCTGAGAACAGTATAGCAACTTCAGACTGCTTGTAGTAAGAGGGTAAACTAATGTATGCTACGCAGCCTGTGCATTATTAGTTCTTACTGAGAAAAAAAATAGTGTATAAACAATATAATATACCCTATGAGAGCTGCCATTATTACACTGGAAAGGCATTAGCTTAGCACGCAAGGCTAATATTGTCGGTCGCGAGGACATGCTAATCAGCAAGCTAACCACAAACAACACTTTTCCAACACGTTTTCAACTGTGAAGCCACGTCAAATCAAGTAAGCACAGAAAACACCAAGCGACAAACACGGCTGAACGTGACCAAACACAACATAGAAGGTAAACGAAGCAAGAATAGGCGTTGAATGAGGCCACTAGCGCACACATAAACACGCTCGCGCGGAGCGTCAGTTTGACACAGTCCAGTCGCTTTAACGCACATATCCGAGGAATAAAGGATACTCAGGGTCAACATCTTGGACGGGTAATCGAAAGCCACCACCTCTCCCTGCAAACGTTGGCCTAAACAGGTGAGGCAAGAGACATGGCTCCCGACACTGAAATACTCCCCCGGTCCAGGAGCCGCCATCTTCTCCGCCAGGGAAACCGGAGCGCGAGCTTTACGTAAACGCACGCGAGGTCGTGACTGCTACGACGCAGCGGCACGTCAGGTGACAGGAAAGAGTGGAAACACACGATTATCCTTCTACCAATTAAAAAAATAAAATAGAAAAAGAATAAATAAATAAACAAACAAAGAGACTTACCACTCTTGTTTATTCAAGAGTACTGGTTAATTAGTAATTATATATATTATATATATAGACTGGTACCAAATGGTAGACTATTTTCCAGATCTTTCATGAGTCTTTAATCTAAATAAAGAACAATCGTAAAGTTGTTAAGACATCTTTGCCATTGAAAAAGATAACTGATGTACTAGATGTATGACTGACGTTTGATTTAAGATGGATCTTTATCTATCTATCATTTCATATATTAATGTATTTATCTAAGAAATAACAGTCAAATTATATAGAGCAAAATTATAGAGAACAGTTCAGAGAATGAGAGATAAATTAAACAACAATATAAAAGAATAACCATATAAAAACAAACAACAAAAGATGATTTTTTAAAAAAAGTTTTAGAATGGGCTATTTATTGTTTTCACAAGTTCCTTATTTTGTATTCTTGTGCTTAAAAGAGTTTCATAGTACAGATCAGTTTGAGATCAGTGTTACAGAAGGTAATATATTATAATATTACATGTAATATTATAGATTAGTTTTTCTTGACTTCAAATAATTAAATTATTGATCATTTAAAAGACTGTTTCTCGGTTCAGATACTAATCTTTGCATATGTATTTAATAAGTAGGCCTAGATTAAGGTGAACTGATAAAAACTCAAAAAAATTCTGTAAAAAAGTCTGTTCGAATGGGCTGATTACTGTAAAATATGCGTTTTAGCAGATACATTTTGTCCCACTGCGGCACCCTGACCCGTGATAACGGCAGCGCTCCTCCTGACAGCTTTAGCGACTTCTCTGACAGTTGGTTTATCTCTGTTTCACTCAGTCTTTTACCTGTAAGATGAACAGGAGACCTTAATGTTATCTGTGAACGTTTATTCATCGTCCTGTGATGGAGAACATTCACCGCCAAGGCGTTTGGGTGGCGGAGGCTCTTCAGCTGAGAACGAGAAGCCTGGAGGATTTCTGGCTAGTCGCTTCTCATATGGGAGACCCGAAAGCTGCGGTTCTCCTGGTCTTTCCTGTCGTGTTTTACATTCATCGACGGACTGGCATCGCTGTTCTCTGGGTAGCAGCTTTATCAGAGTGGCTTAATTTGGTTCTCAAATGGTATGAAATGCTTTGCATGTTGGGATGTGTGAAAATGAAACCGAAGGTCAGATGATGGATAAACGTCTCTGAGTGATAGATAAACTTCTATAGCGCAAACTAGTTTTATAATTACTTCTCATACTGTAATTACCCCTACATACAGTATATATATATATATATATATATATATATATATATATCACTGATTCTTGAAACTTTGGCAAAAACATGTCCCACTAAAAAAAGTGCTAATTCTGTTGGAAATTAATAACATTTTCATGAATGAAAAGAATCAAGTTTATAATCAGGGGGTCCTTTGCACATATGTAAGGTTCTTTTATAGGTTTATTTTTCATTTTTATTATTTTAATGATTATATGCTGGCCCATTGCCTACAAAATCAGCTGTCCTCGGATAGGAGATAATCATTTCAACTTGATTAAAAAAACAAAAAGGAATAATTGAATTGAATAATATATTTACCACACAAAAGAGTACATTATAATATGTATTAAAAACTACAAACAGTGAGTTTTGAACAATATTTACTATTATTTTGTGGTCATTCAAAATGTGTCCCACATATTCGTCACCACCGTCAGATATTTATAAAAAGCAATAAAATCAGGCAACTACAAGGTCAACTACATTCCTCCATACCCCATTTTCAAACCTTCAGCTTTTCACCATGCTTCAAGATCACTCAATCTCCCGTAATTTTGCTATTTTCTCTTAAACTTGTTCATATATTTGGGCACTGCTACTGTCACAACCATAACATGTCAACACCGTCTCTTTTGTATAGAAAATATTAGATTAGATTATGACATAATTGTATACTTTTTAAGAAGAGGTCTGAAGTAGCTAGCAACGGAGGGGAAACAAGATGGCTATAATGTGAACAACTCATGCATATCATGTGAAAGAGTAGGTTTTGTCACCACCGTCAGACGTCACCACCGTCAGGTTTTCTATCTGACGGTGGTGACATACCGTGTGACGGTGGTGACAAAACCCCCCAAATGGTCTATAACAGAGGCTAGAATATAATTGTTGATCACAATAAATACCAATATATTATCTGTAATGTTCCATTCACCTCTTTAATATTTTTATTTATTTAATTCCCCCTATATTTCTTCCATACAGGCTTACACTGCATGCTACTATTAGCGCGAGTGAGAGTGAGGATGTTTCCTGATATCCTCACGGCTGTGGTTCAGCTGCAGGAATACAGCAGTTCTAATCTGAACACGTTTGATGCGATTAAATTGTGTTTCATGACGTTCATTTAGATTTTTGCCCACACTAAAAATTTGTTAAAGCCTAGCATGGATAGGAGCAGCAATAACCCCCTTGGGGTAAACAGAACAGAACCAACATGAATGTTTTGCAGATTATTTCAAAATTTAAAGTACAATATAATTCGAGAATTTATTCAGATTCTTGGGGAATCAGAATGTCAAGTCCTGACTGACGAGTGGAGCTGGGGAGGGAGGAGGGTAATGAGCTCCTGAGAAACGTGATAGCTGCTGATAATACTGAAGGAGCTTATATATGTGTAAAGTGATGGGCGTCATATTCCTATAGGGGGAGGTTAATCAGCTAATAGTCGACTGATGCGAGCTTGACTAACGTGACCTGCCAGAACTAACGCTACGCTTGATATTTAGACAGATTTTTTGAACAATTTTTGAGAGAAATGGGCTTTTTGTGTACATGGGAAAAAGTCCTAGATCTTTGAGTTCAACTCATGAAAAATGGGGGCAAAAACAAGTGTTGCATTTATAATTTTGTTCAGTGTACATATTTATGAATTATACCATCAGCCTATCGTCCAATAGGGGATAAGGTGTGCCTTCCCTCTCTCTCAATTCACTATTATGCCATGTTCATTTGGCTTATGTCATTTGGGATGCACATAGTGCAGCTACTGCCTACCTACAGCACATAGTATGCACTATCCATTCCAGGCTATGCATCTCCAATGACTAAAGCCAAATGAAAATGGCATGACATCATTTAAACAAATCTAACATTCGCTGTAATTAACCCCAATTTCATAGTCATTACACTCAACTTTGACTTTATGTATTTTAGAAAGTTATGGCTAGGCAGCAGCTATCTGTAGAGGAGAGAAGGAGAAGAAACAGGGAATACCAAAAAAAGCTGAGAGAGAAAATACACAGTGAGGCAGAGTTAAATGAGGAATACCTCATAAAAGGAAAAAAATGTTTATCACAGTGCTCAAGATTGTTATTTTTTGGACCAAAGAGTTAAATGAAGTTGTTAAGCAAGAATTGATTGACTTGAGTGGTATACATTGTGGAATTGTATGTTGTAAAGAGGCCACAGTCACCACCGTCAGATTAATGTCACCACCGTCAGTTCTAAAGTCACCACCGTCAGAGGGAGTTTTATTTGTTTTAAATGAATATACTTAAAATATGATTCTTCAGTGCTGTTGAGTTATTAAAGTAATAGTCTCTTTTAATACAAAAATATGTTTGTTAAATAAAACAACATTAATTTTTCTATTTAGGCTTAAAGTAAATGTTGTATGATGTTATATCTTTTAAAGGAGTACACGCAAAACAGCATAAAAAATGAACAAAAGTGAATATTCAACATTTAACAGCATATATGTGTACCAAGAATGCCAGATAATGATTTAAAAACTCTAAATACATATTAGACCAAACAAATAAAAAATAATTTTCTATTTATTTTGTCTGACGGTGTTGACAAAAACAAAGTGATAACTGGAGAAACGCCTATTTTATGATAAAAATACAAAATGAGGAGGTTGCACCGGTGCATTGCTGAACAGCCAAGACCTTGCTTTATAATGATATACCTTCAGATTTTGTAATTTAACTAACTTTTTATTTTCAAAATTAAAACCTGTTTTATCCAAATTCCCAAGAATCACTGATATATGTGTGTGTGTGTATAGTATATATATATATATATATATATATACACACACATACATACTGTATATACATACACACAAACATTTATCACACACACACACACACACACACACACACATATATATATATATATATATATATATATATATATATATATATATTATATATAAATGGCTTATTATTATTTATGGAAGCTTGTTCCTTGTTTGTATGTTATAAATATATAAGTAAATAAGGCGATTGCGACTTTCCCCTTGTTGTACAGTCAGAAGAATACTGTCAGCATTTCTTATATAAATATTACAAGTATCCATGACCTACTAAAATCACACAGAAATCATTTAAATAATTTCACACTCACAGTTTAAATAATGTCTTATCACTTCAGTGTCAGTGCTGTTTAATATTGTTTTGTGGAAACCTTGATACACTGCCATTCACAAGTTTGGGATTATTAGACAAAAAACATCATTAATAGTTGGTTACCAATACTAATTAATCACTAAATTAGCATGTTAGAATTGTTTCAGGAAAAAAAAAAAAAAAAAACTCATTAAATTAGTAAACTCTTTTGATTATAAATTATTCTGAGGGCATTTAAAGTGCAAGAAAGTAAACTTTAGAGAATGGATTTTAGTTTTTATAAAGTTATAGTATTAAACTCAATTTTATTGGGTTATGAATGGCATTTCATGTTGACTGTAATTTATTTAACTTGACATTCAGGTTCCTGTTTGGCGAGAGGCCATATTGGTGGATTGGAGAATCTGGATTGTTTTCTAAAAACCCACCGAAAGTCCAGCAGTTCCTGTCTACCTGTGAGACTGGCCCAGGTAAAGCAGAACAATAATCTTCCTTATTATAGATCATTTTACCTGAACCATTTCCAGATGTCAAAAGCTAATCCATCAGCCATCTCTCTCAGGCAGTCCTTCGGGTCATGCCATGGTCACTAGTGCTGTCTGGTGGCTGATCGTCTCTGCGCTGGCCTCATTCTTTCACACTCGCACCGGCAGGTCTGTCTTTAACCCTATAAAGCCTTTACAGTAAACGTTAGAAAATAGGGCTGTCATCGATTAATTGGATCCAAAATAAAAGTTTGTGTTTACATAATATATGTGGGTGCACTGTGTATAATTATTTATTTTTTGTATAATTATAAATTATTTAATTATATATATATATATATATATATATACACATATGCATGTATATTTAAGTTTTTTTTATTTATTTATTTATATATAATATAAATTATATATAAATCTATATACAGTATATACATTAAAATATTTCTTAAATATATAAAAGCATGTGTGTGTATTTATATATAGGCTATATATATATAAAACAAACTTTTATTTTGGATGCGATTAATCGTTTGACAGCCCTATTAGAATAACTTCTTTTATATTGTAACATTTCAAGATCAATATTTACTGGACTGCACTAAACCTTACTTGATGATCCATACATTTTTTATTTTTATTTTCATAAATTATGTTAAAATGTGAGTATCAAATATAATCCATGAGAAGGTTGATTTCTTCATCCCTCAATCATCATTGTACTGCATTGCATATGGTTTAGGAATTTTGATCATAAAACTAAGCATTTAAATGTAAATCTTACTATTGGCTGATATACAACTTATGAAGTGACAACTTCTATTCATATCCAATTTATATTCGTAGTAATTTTTAATTATATATTTTGGTCATATAAATATCATCATCTGCACCAAATTCCATATTTTTGCTCAGTTTGAGCCTCTAAATACCCCCCCACCCTCTAAACTCTCACTATATGAGGCATAAAAGCCTGATGTATCAAATATGATACTCTACTTATGCAAGCTTTTTTTTAAAAAAAGTCACTCTTATAAGTTACATCACAGTATTAGTGTAGATACATGAATGTTATTTTTTCATATGTAATACTAACTAAACAAACTCTTTGTCGTACAGTAAGATATTGGCTGCAGTGCCGTACCTGTTGTATGCAGTATTTTTGGGATGTGTGGGCCTTTCTCGGATCTTCATCCTGGCTCACTTCCCTCATCAAGTCATTGCCGGTCTTCTGACAGGTCAGTCATAAATAAATACGTCATCCATCCATACACACATGCATACTCATATCTTAATAGCCAGGATCTTAATGCACTTTCTCCGCAGGGGTGTTGCTGGGGATTTATCTGAACCGGACTGTGCCTGAATGTCGCCCTCTGCTGTTCTTCTTTTGCTGTAGCGTGACTTTGCTCTTTGGAGCGCTTGTGCTGCATGGTGCCCTGCAAAAGACTGGGATTGATCTTTCTTGGTGGGTACAATGTGACATTGACTAAATATTTAGTACATCACAATTGTTACAAATACAATTAAATTAAATATCTAAGGTTATTAACATTGTAAAACTAGCTACGTATTTTATAACACTATACTTCATTATATTATAGCACTATAATATATAAAATGTGCAAAGGGTCCATTGAAAAATGTATTGTCAACCACTAATTATAATATATTAATCCTCAAAATATCACATATACAGAGCATATTTGTATTAGGCCCGGTTCAAAGATGACAAATCGTGGCATTCATACATCATACAGTGAGAGGTTCAAAGACGGCCGTTATCACGGTCTTATGACCAAAGATAGCCTGTGATAATATTCAGACAGTCAGAACTTTATCATGATCATCTCACAGTGTGTTTGATGCTACGACCTACATCTGCTGACTAGCCAAGACAAATGCAACATGAAATGACGTATTGATCAAGGTGACATGAGGCTAAAACTTAACTACTCACCTTGAAAAATGCCAAGTTGGCCTCTTTTCCCAGCCATGTTCTCCTCTTTCACTGCTTCCTCTTTTTTTCAGCGAACATAAAAATCACAATTGCCAAATTGTGATTGATCTTGCTCTATTTGTTCACCACTAGCAGATGCTGATGCGTCGTAGCCTGCGATTCAGTAGGTGTCGTCATCATACAGTCAACACACATGTCCT